AAACCTATCTATCCATAAAGGAATTTTCAAAACAGCTTACAGTTTCTAGTAAAATAAATATAAAATGTACTTGTGATCATTTTAAAGCACTTTGGCATTTATCTATAATAAAAACTGGTAGAATAAAATTAACATTTAAAACATAATTTTTATAATGCTTAAGTATGCTACTAAAGTAGGTTATAATGCATATTATTTATTGTCAAGCCTTAAATTTGAAGGTAAGAATTAATTTTACAACAATTTATATAAATAAAAGACCAACATTACTGCCAGAAACATAGGGAAAAGAATGTCTGGCACAGTATCAAGGCCACACTTAATTGGATGGATATCATGGTATTCAGTATGTGGGCTAACTTTTTATTGGAAATAGGGTTAACACCAGCTGTAAGAGCCTGCTGCTAATTGCTTCTTGGACCAGGTCTTCCCCTTGATGCCACAGCCCAAAGACTAATTTTTATTCCATATTTCAAGGCCTGGCAGAAAATTACATCCCCTAAAATAGGAAGAATGACTAAGCATGATGGCTTATACCTGTAATCCCAGCATTTTGGGAAGCCACAGTGAGAAGATTGCTTGAGGCCAGGAGTTCATGACCATCCTGGGTAATATAGTAAGACCCTGTCTCTACAGAAATTTTTTTTTAAATTAGCTGAGCATGGTGGCATGTTCCTATAAGTCCTACCTACGTGGGAAGCTGAGGTGAGAGAATCACTTGAACTCTGGAGTTCCAGGCTGCAATGAGCCATGACCGTGCCACTGCACTCCAGTCTGACTGACAGAGTGAAACCTTATCTCTAAAAAAAAATTAAAAATTTTTTAAAAATAAAGTAAAATAGGAAGAAGATGGATATCTCTCCTGATATGAACACAGATTGAAAGTGAAAGAGAATCCGAAGTCCATAATTAGTTTAGGATCAGAAAGCATTCTGTATTGATCTCTGTGGTCATTCTATACCATATTTCAGAACCTTTACTTGCAGACTTGGAAATATTCAAAATTACTTATTTGCATGTCAACCAATATGTGGGCAGATCTATAGACTTTCATCAAATAAATCATACATAGGATGGGTGACAGAACTCCTCATGGCCCATGGTGATGGTGGCTATGGGGTAAGTCTCCTCCACCTCTGGAAAGGGGAGGGAACAGTGGGAAGCACTGTGAGTTATGGTTTGAGTGTCAGCTCAGCCACAGTACAACAGAATACCAGGTAGACATAAGGTTTTTTATTCTAGTCCCTGACTCCTGGATGGCACCTCTGGACTGACCCAGGGCCTGCAGGAACTCACTACCCTGAAGGGAAGGACACAAGCTTGGATGGCTTTTCCACCTGCTGATTGTAGAGCCCACGCCTTGAGCAAACATACTCCATAGCCAGGGAGTGTTTACAACAGGGCTTGGGCAAGACCCAGTGCTGTGCTGGCTTCAGGTCTGACCCAGCACAGTCATAGTGGTGGTGGCCGCAGAGGTGCTGTGTTAATCCATTCCCAGCTTTAGGTGGCTCAGAACAGAGACAGAGAGACTCTGGGAGAAAGTAAGAGTAAAGAATGGGAGTCTCCACTTGGGATCTAGAGGTTTCTCCTGGATATTGTCTAAGATCATCCAGGAGGTACCCTATGAGTCTGCAAGAACAACAGCATTACTCACCTTAGGGGACCCCCTAAAGCAGATACAGCTTATCACAATACCCAAATCTTTTCAAATATCTGGAAACCTTCCCAAGAAGGATGAGTACAAACCAGCCCAGATAGTGAAGACTACAATATATACCTGATATGGTCTGGTGCTGTGTCCCCACCCAAATCTCACCTTGAATTATAATAATTCCTACATGTCATGGGAGGGACCCAGTGGGAGATAATTGAATCATGGGGGCACATGTTTCCCATGCTATTCTCCTGTTAGTGAATAAGTCTCACAAGATCTGATGGTTTTATAAATGAGAGTTCTCCTGCACAAACTCTTTTGCCTGCTGCCATGTAAAATATCCCTTTGCTCTTCCTTTGTCTTCTGCCATGATTGTGAAGCCTCCCCAGCCATGTCAAACTGTGAGTCTATTAAACAAACCGCTTTCCTTTACATATTACCCAGTCTTGGGTACGTCTTTATTAGCAGCATGAGATGAACTAATACAGTAAATTGGTACCAGTAGAGTGGGGTGCTACTGTATAGATACCTCAAAATGGAGAAGCAACTTTGGAACTGGGTAACAGGCAGAGGTTGGAACAGTTTGGAAGGCTCAGAAGAAGATAGGAAGATGTGGCAAAGCTTGGAACTTCCTAGAAACTTGTTGAATGACTTTGACCAAAATGGTGATAGTGATATGGACCCAGTTTGAGGTGGTCTCAGATGGAGATGAGGAATTTGTTGGGAATTGGAGCAAAGGTGACTCTTGTTATGTTTTAGCAAAGAGACTGGTGGCATTTTTCCCCTGCCCTAGAGATCTGTAGAACTTTGAATTTGAGAGAGATGATTTAGGGTATTGGGGGAAAAATTTTTAAGCAGCAAAGCATTTAAGAGGAAGCAGAGCATAAAAGTTTGAAAAATTTTCAGCCTATATTTTGGAAAAGTTTGGAAAATATGCTGCAGTAGAAAAGAAAATCCATTTTCTGGGGAGAAATAAGTAACGGTGAGCCAAATCTTAATCACCAAGACAATGGAGAAAATGTCTCCAAGGCACGTCAGAGACCTTGGGCACGTCTTTATTAGCAGCATGAGATGAACTAATACAGTAAACTGGTACCAGTAGAGTGGGGTGCTACTGTATAGATACCTCAAAATGGAGAAGCAACTTTGGAACTGGGTAACAGGCAGAGGTTGGAACAGTTTGGAAGGCTCAGAAGGATAGGAAGATGTGGCAAAGCTTCATGTGGCAAGGCAGCTCCTCCCATCACAGACCTAGAGGCCTAGGGAAAAAAAATGTTTCTGTGGGCTAGGGCCCAAGGTCCCCCTGCTGTGTGCAGCTTAGTGACTTGGTGCCCTATGCTCCTGCTGCTCTAGCCATGGCTAAAAGGGGCCAAGGCACAGCTTGGGCCATGGCTTCAGAGGGTGCAAGCCCTAAGCCCTGGCAGCTTCCACATGGTGTTGAGCCTGCAGGTCCACAGAAGTCAAGAATTGAGGTTTGAGAAACTCTGCCGAGATTTCAGAGGATGTATGAAAGCACTTAGATGTTCAGACAGAAGTTTGCTGCAGGGACAGGGCCCTCTTGGAGAACCTTTATTAGGGCGGTACAGAAGGAAAATGTGGTGTTGGAGCCCCCACAGAGTCCCTACTGGGGCGCTGCCTAGTAGGGCTGGGAGAAGAGGGTCACCATCTTCCAGGCCCTAGAATGGTAGATCCACCAACATCTTGTACCATGTACCTGGAAAAGACACATACACTCAATGCAGGCCCATGAAAGCAGCCAGGAGGGAGGCTATACCCTGCAAAGCCACAGGGTCAGAGCTGCCCAAGACCATGGGAACCCACCCCTCACATCAGCATGACCTCGATGTAGGACATAGAATCAAAGGAGATCATGTCAGAGCTTTAATATTTGGCTGTCCTGCTGGATTTTGGACTTGCATGGGGCCTGTAGCCCTTTTGTTTTGGCCAATGTCTCCCATTCAGAATAAGTGTATTTATCCCATGCCTGTGCCCCCATTGCATCTAGGAAGTAACTGACTTGCATTTTATTTTATAGGCTCATAGGCAGAAGGGACTTGCCTTTTCTCAAATGAGACTTTGGACAGTGAACTTTGGAGTTAATGCTGAAATGAGTTAAAACTTTGGGGGACTGTTGAGAAGGCATGATTGTGTTTTGAAATGTGAAAGGAACATTAGATTTGGAAGGGGCCAGAGGCAGAATGATATGATTTGGATTTGTGTCCCCACCCAAATCTTACCTTGAATTGTAATAATTCCCATGTGTCATGGGAGGGACTCAGTGGGAGGTAATTGAATCATTGGGGTGGGTCTTTCCCATGCTGATATTGTGGTAGGGAAAAGTCTATTGAGATCTGATTTTTATAAATGGGAGTTCCCCTGCATAAGCTCTCTTGCCTGCTGCCATGTAAGACATCCCTTTGCCTTTGTCTTCTGCCATGATTGTGAGGCCTTCCCAGTTATGTGGAACTGTGAGTCCAATAAACCTCTTTTCTTTATGTATTAACCAGTCTCAGGTATGTCTTTATTAGCAGCATGAGAATGGACTAACTCTTCAATGCCCAGTCACTGAAGAATATCTACTGGCTCAACATCACCCAGGAAAAAGCAAACTCACCAAATGAATAGAATAAGGCAACAGGGACCAATCCTGGAGAAACAGAGATATGTGACCTTTCAGACAGAGAATTCAAAATAGCTGTGTTAAGAAAACTCAAAGAAATTCAAGATAATGCAGAGAAGAAATTCAGGATTCTATCACATAAATGTAACAAAGAGATTAAAATTGTTAAACAGGATCAAGCAGCAATTCTGTAGCTGAAAAATGCAACTGGCATACTGAAGACTGCATCAGAGTCTTAATAGCATAATTGATCAAGAAGAAGAAAGAATTAGTGAGCTTGAAGACAGGCTATTTGAAAATACACAGTATTTTATTTTTAGGGGACTAAAATAAAAACAAAACGCAATAAAGCATGCCTATGTGATCTAGAAAACATCCTCAAAAGGGGAAATCTAAGAGTTATTGACCTTAAAGAGGAGGTAGAAAAGAGATAGGGGTAGAAAGTTTATTTAAAGGGATAATAACAGATAACTTCCCAAACCTAGAGAAAGATATTAATATCAAATATAAGAAAGTTATGGAACACCAAGCAGATTTAACCCAAAGAAGACTACCTCATCGCATTTAATAATCAAACTCCCAAAGGTCAAAGATAAACAAAGGAACCCAAAAGCAGCAAGAAAAATAAACAGTATACACTGGAGCTCCAATATATCCAGCAGCAGACTTTTCAGCAGAAACATTATAGGCCAGGAGAGAGTGGCATGGCTTATTAAAAGTAATGGCAAAAACTGCAATAACTTTTGTACTAACCTAATATTTCAAGTGCTGAAGGAAAAAAACTTTTACCCTAGTATAATATATCCAACAAAAATATCCTTCAAATATGAAGGAGAAATAAAAACTTTCCCAGACAAAGAAAAGCTGAGAGATTTCATCAACACAAGACATGTCCTACAAGAAATGCTAAAGGGAGTACTTCAATCAGAAAGAAAAGAACAATAAAGAGCAATAATTAATCACCTGAAGGTACAAAACACACAGGTAATAGTAAGTAAACAGAAAAACACAGAATATTATAACACTGTAACGGTGATGTGTAAACTACTTTTATCCTAAGTAGAAAGACTAAACAATGAACCAATCAAAGTTAATAACTACAACAACTTTTCAGGACATAGACAGTACAATAAGATATAAACAGAAACAGCAAAACATTTAAAAGTAGGGGAACAAAGTTAAATTATAGAATTTTTATTCGTTTTCTTTTGGCTTGTATGTTTACGCAGTGTTACGTTCTTATCAGGTTAAAATAATAGGTTATACGATAGTTTTTGTCAGCCTCATGGTAACCTCAAACAAAAAACATACAATGGATATACAAAAAATAAAAAGCAAGAAACTAAGTCATATCAACAGAGAAAATCACATTCACTAAAGGGAGACGGAAGGAAGGAACAAAGGAACGAAGGGAGGAAGGGAGGAAGGGAGGAAGGGAGGAAGGGAGGAAGGGAGGAAGGAAGGAAGGAAGGAAGGAAGGAAGGAAGGAAGGAAGGAAGGGACCACCACAAAACAACCAGACAACAACAACAAAATGGCTGAAGTCCTTGCTTATCAATAATAACATTGAATGTAGATGGGCTAAACTCTCCAATCAAAAGATAAAGTGGCTGAATGGATAAAAAACAGACCCATTGATATGGTGCCTACAAGAAATACACTTCACCTATAAAGATACATACAAACTAAAAATAAAGGGATGGACAAATATGTTCCATGTCAATGGAAACAAACAAAAAAGCAGGAGTAGCTACACTTATATCAGACAAAACAGATCTCAAGACAAAAACTCTAAGAATAAACAAAGAAAGTCACTATATAATGATAAGGAGGTCAATTCAGGAAGAGGAGATAACAATTTTAAATATATATGTACCCAACACTGGAGCACTCTGATATATAAAGGAAATATCATTAGAGCTTAAGAGAGATATAGGTCCCAATGCAATAATAGCTAGAGACTTCAACTCCCCACTTTCAGCATTGGACAGATGTTCCAGAGAGAAAAACAACAAATAAATTGTATCAAACCCAATGTCTTCATTGTGATATTGTACTATAGTTATGAAAGATGTTATCATTGGGGGAATATATGTGAAAGATACACAGCATCTCTTTGTATTATTTCTTTTCTATTTTTCTCTATTTAAAAATAGTTTTAATAAAATAGAGATTGGGTCTTGCTCTGTTGCCTGGGCTGGTCTCAAATTTCTGGCCTCAAGTGATCCTCCTGGTTCAGCCTTCCAAAGTGCTGAGATTATAGGCACGAGCCATCATGCTCAGACTTCTTTGAATATAAGTCTACAGTTATCTTAAAAAGCCTAGTGCAGATAAGTGACACAATCAGATCCATCCCTGTCACACAGAACAATTCACTGATCTTCAAATGGCATATATTTTTTTCCACTATTCCTATTCTCCCTCCCTTCCTTCAAGTCCCTCAAGTTCCCAGGTAAAATATGACCTCCTCTCAATATCCTGTGTATTTACCACACTTTAAAAAATTATACTAATATCACATGTACATTCTTCCCATCATACTATGACCACTAGGATTTTATCATGTTTCACCTTAGCACAGCACTTAGCCTACAGTAAATGCTCAAAAAAGTTTATTAAGATGATTAATCTGCAACTCTAGCTATATGTACAACACACACACACACACACACACACACACACACACACCAATTTTATGAACTACCAATCATAAAAATGTCAGGTATAGAAGAATGTGCTCCAAGCTGATAGCCAAATCAGGAACATACCCTATTCCCAAGTGCCACAAAAAGAATACCTAGGAATATAGCTAGCAATATAGCTAGGAATATCTGGGAATGTAGCTAACTAGGGAGATGAAAGATTTCTACAAGGAGAACTATAAAACACTGCCCAAAGAAATCAGAGATGACACAAACAAATGAAAATATTCCATACTCATGGATAAGAAGAATCAAATGTAAAATGGCTATACTGCACAAGGCAATTTATAGATTCAATGCTATTCCTATTAAACTACCATTGAGGTTCTTTATAGAACTAAAAAAACTATTTTAAAATTCAAATGGAACCAAAAAGAGCCTGAATAACCAAGGCAATCCTAAGCAAAAAGAGCATCCTAAGCTCAAGGCATCACACTACCTGACTTCAAACTATACTAAAGGTCTATGGTAACCACAACAGCATGGTACTCCACAAGAACAGACACATAGACCAATGGAACAATAGAGAACACAGAAATAAGACCACACACCTACAACTATCTGATCTTTGAAAAACCTGATATAAACAAGCAATGAGGAAAGAATTCCCTATTCAATAAATAGAACTAGGATAATTGGCTAGCCATATGCAGAAGACTGAAACTGGACGCCTTCCTTAAACCATATACAAAAATTAACTATAGATGGATTAAATACTTAAATGTAAAACTCAATACTATAAAAACCCTGGAAGACAACCTAGGCAATACCATTCAGGACATAGGCATGGGCAAAGATTTCATGACAAAGATGCCAAAAGCAATTGCAACAAAAGCAAAAATTGACAAATGGGATCTCTCTAAACTAAAAAGCTTCTGCACAGCAAAGGAAACTATCAACAGAGTAAACAACCTATGGAATGGGAGAAAATGTCTGCAAACTATGCATCAAACAAAGATCTAATATCCAGCTTCTATAAGGAATTTAAACAAATTTACATTAAAAAAATTAAAAAGTAGGTAAAGGACATGAACAGACACTTTCAAAAGAAGATATATATGCCAACAATCTTATGAAAAAAAGTTCAACATCACTGATCATTAGAGAAATGCGAATCAAAACCACAATGAAGTACTATCTCACACCAGTCAGAATGGCTATTAGTAAAAAGTCAAATAACAGATGCTGGTAAGGTGGTGGAGAAAAAGGAAGGCTTATATACTGTTGGTGGGAGTGTAAATTAGTTCAACCACTGTGGAAGACAGTGTGGCAATTCCTCAAAGACCTAAAGACAGAAATACCATCTGATATAGCAATCCTATTACTGGTATATACTCAAACGAATATAAATCATGGTATTATAAAGACACATGCACGTGTATGTTCATTGCAGCACTATTCACAACAGCAAAGATATGGAATCAACCTAGATGCCCATCAATGATAGACTGGATAAAGAAAATGTGATACATGTATACCATGGAATACTATGTGGCCATAAAAAAGAATAACTTCATGTCCTTTGCAGGGACATGAACGAAGCTGGAGGCCATCATCCTCAGCAAACTAATATAAGAACAGAAAAACAAATACATCATGTTCTCACTTATAAGTGGGAGCTAAATGATGCAAACACATGGATACATAGAGGGAAACAACACACACTGGGCCCTATTAAAGGGTGGAGGATAGGAAGGAGGGAGAGGATCAGAAAAAATAACTAAAGGGTGTGAGGCTTAATACCTGGATGATGAAATAATCCATACAACAAACCCCTATAATACAAGTTTACCTATGTAACAAACCTGTGCATTTACCCTTGTATTTAAAATAAAAGTTAAAAGTAAATAAATTAACATGTAAATTCTGCTGGAAAAAAAAGAAGAATATGCTCACCAAAGTTAAAAGGCAACTTAAATACTGTCTCGCCTTATTATGGATTTAAAGTCACCCAAACATCCAAATTATCTAAAGGATAAGTACCTTTAAAAAGGCCAAAAATATAATAGTCTTGTCATTTTAGGTTTCCATAAGTTATATATCCATAAGACAAAAAAAGTATAACTCATAACTAGCTTAAGAAAAGTGAAAGTAAATAACTGATTCATGTTTTCTTACCAATACAGAAGTAAAGGTTTTAAAACTTCAGACTGAATATTTCTTAAATGCTCTTCATTCCACTGAGATCCATCTAACAGTTTAAATTTTGATAAGATTTCTGTAGAAAGGTAATAATCTCCATTGCTCACTAGATAGCATTTTTTCATCTTCTCAAGATGTCTGAAAGAAAACACATTTCCACATATATACACACACATGGATAGAATTCAATTACCAAAATATTTTCACATCTAAAACATTTCAGACAAGTAATGAACGATCTCAAAACCAACAGTGAGTGTCAGAGGTACCAAACATTTTTGTAGAGGTAAAGATATTTTTCACAGTTATGTAAATAGGAAGGGTATCTGTGACAAGCTGAATAAATGGCCTTGTAAAGATGTCTACATTCTAATTTCTAGAACTTGTGTCTAAGTTACCTTTCATGTCAAAGGGAGCTCTGCAGATGTGCTTAAGTTAAAGACTTTAAAGAGATCTTCTGTATTATCTAGATGTAATCACAAGGATCCTCCTAAGAGAGAGGCAGGAAGGTCAGCATCATAGAGAAAAGATGTGAGGATAGAGCAGAAGTCAGAGAGAAGATGCTGTGCTGCTGGCTTTGAAGATGGAGAAAGAGCTCATGAACCAAGGCCTTGATTAGATGGAAAAAATAGGGAAATCGATTACCCCTAGAACCTTCTGACTTCCAGAACTGTACGAGAATAAATAAAACTCTGTTGCTATTGGCTGGGCACGGTAGCTCACTCCTGTAATCCCAGCACTTTGGGAGGCTGAGGCGGGCGGATCACGAGGTCAAGAGATCGAGACCATCCAGGCCAACATGGTGAAACCCCGTCTCTACTAAAAAACAACAAAAATTAGCTGGGCGTGGTGGCATGCGCCTGTAGTCCCAGCTACTCGGGAGGTTGAGGCAGGAGAATTGCTTGAACCTGGGAGGCAGTGGTTGCAGTGAGCTGAGATCGCGCCACTGCACTCCAGCCTGACGCCTGGCGACAGATCGAGACTCTGTCTCAAAAAAACAAACAACAACAACAACAAAAATCTCTGTTGCTTTAAGCCACTAAGTTTGTGGCAATTTGTTACAGCAACATTGGGAACTACAGTGTTGATCCTGAAAAACGTATGCAGTTACTTGCATACAACCGCCTGATATGTCTTCAAAAGTGGTAATGATCAATCAGGTCATGCTTCATAATCAACCATTTAGTGACCTCTGCTCTTATAACTATTTACGACAATGAGGTTTGTGATCTGAATGTCATTAAAATGAGTGAAATAACCCAGTGTCTAATATACTCAGTCAAATCCTTAAAGGAAATTGCAATCTACTATAGTTGATCTGCTTCAGAGCAGATTAGGAGAATAAAGACAAGTTAAAGACTTTCCTAAAACAGGGTTCTCTTAAGGTTCTTCAACTTACAGTAATCTAAAACATATAGAGCTGACCAAACAAAGACCTGAGCCTCATCAGACCTCCAAGAAGTTCTCTAGTGGAGAGACTCATCCAGATACCCAGCTACATGGCATCCAACCAAACATTATGGAATTTGGAATTTGTTAACCAGGCTGCTAGGAAGAGCAGGTGTCTATTTGCTACTGTGGCTATAACTAATAAATTACTTTATTCTATAAAAATTATACATCACTTTAATGTTATAAAAGTGAAAATAGAATAATTTGAAAGTAGTTCTAGAATGTATTGGCAGAAACATTATGCAACCCCAAATAATTATCACATAGCATTTGAAAACTATGAAATCAGAAAAGTAGTATAATCAATATTTATTATTATAAGTTTTATTATCATTAATTCCTCCAAGAGTAAAAAATTATATTTTTTCAATTTGCTTCAGGCTTTCTCCCTGTACTAAACAACCCAAATTAACATTCATGATTTGTTTTTAAAACTATTGAAAAATAAAAAATAGAATTACCTTTGATGTCTTCCAGGGTCCTTAAGAACCTTTAACCTCTCAATATCCATCCATAGCCACCAATATCTCTCTCCCAATGTACCTTTTATAAATTTCTTAAATCTTTCAAACTCCTTTCTGTTGCCGATGTCATAAGTTCTATGAGAAACACACCAGTCAGCCCTGCTCTCTGGTCCAGTGCTCTCACTCTTTGAACTTAAACTTGCTTCTTCTTCTATCTCTTCTGACCTCTCCTTTGTAGTTTGAACTAATTCACTTAAAAAATTCTTGCCAGCAATAGGCTCAAAACCGTCACCAAATGACACTTTTGTTATATTGTTGAAGTTTATATAGTCTTGAGTTTCTCCAACTGACTTTCCAACAATTTGCTGAATTGCTCTTCTCAAAATAAAGTATATATAGGAATTTAAAAAATCTTTACATGTTGAGAAATGCATTGTCAGGCTTTCATCAACCTCCTGTTTCTTTTCAAGGTATATTCTCAAAAGAGCTTGAGAAGGAGTGTCTTGTAGAGATACAGACACTTCTTCGTCGTCGTCTTCTTCAAATTCAGAAATTAATTTGGTAGTTTTAGATGGGTCGTTTTTTGTCCTAGGGTGAACTCCATCATCAAAGATAAAATTCTCTGTATTAAGTCATAAAAAGCTATTAGTTTAGATATAAATACAAATCTTTCTTCTTATTAAATAGAAGCTACAGAGCTAGGACAGCAAATGGGTTTATCACAGGTAGTGACTGCATGGACCAGCATCTTAAGGATTCTGGGCTGGTTGCGGTGGCTCACGCCTGTAATCCCAGCACTTTAGGAGGCTGAGGTGGGTGGATCACTCGAGGTCAGGAGTTCCAGACCAGCCTGGCCAACATGGTGAAATCCCGTCTCTACTAAAAATACAAAATTTAGCCAGGCGTGGTGGCGTAGTAATCCCAGCTACTTGGTAGGCTAAGGCATGAGAATCGCTTGAACCCAGGAGGTGGAGGGTGCAGTGAGCGGGAGCATGCCACTGCACTCCAGCCTGGGTGATAGAGAGAGACTCTGTCTCAAAAAATAGAAAAAAGAAAAGAAGAATTCTGATGCTACATTTGGAACCAGTAGGAAAAAAAACTACCAATGGGAATTAATAACCTTGTCTTCCCTGGATTTACAAGGAAGGAATAGTGGCAGATGGACGATATATTTGACATCCCTAACAACAGAAGATATGAAAAAATACATTATATACTTTTAAAATGTAATATTCCAGACTGATATATAATGTCAATATATAAGGGCCAAATCTATTAAGGAATTAGAATATGTATACTAAATGATTATATGTGCTTTGATATTTCATGTTGTATGATAAAAGAAAACTACTGTAGATGATGAGACCATATATGAATAGACCAGAACTGGAGACAATAATAGCAATTTTAAAAATTCATCATTTCATTAAAAGATTCAATTACTATCATACTTACAGTCTATCATTCAAGTTACAAAATGGCACAAAGTATTTATGAAGGTTTACAAAGGGATTATTTGTATGCTTTTTCTAAAGATATGGTATTCAGCTCCTATTTTCCCTTTCAAAAATCAGTGACATGTCTGACATTAGCGCTTTATTTCACATGGTAAATTTACCCTTTGAATTGCCACAGATCAGCTAGCAGTTGTCATCCATGCCCCATTCTCAATGACCATTTTCTCAATTACCAGAGTTCAAATCTCAACGAACTGGACATTTCATTACAATTTTTGTTGCAAGTATATTCCCCAATATTGAGAGATTAGACTTTGTAAATCTGTGAGAGGATGCTGAGTATACACTCAATTCCATGGAACCGAAGGAAGGATGTTGCAGAGAACAAGGCAGGCATTCCAGCTCACCACCTCCTGCCATCCTTCTCTGCCTGTATACTATTTTTATCTACAATTATCTACTTCAATATTTTGGGAAAACAACAAGAAGCCTATGAATCCAGCTATTTTCAATTAGGGAGATTATTTTCTTCTTTACCTAGACTTAGGTTCAATTCTAGGGAATTCGGATTTACCTTCCCAGAGGTTGCCTATACTTCTCAAAGAGATTAGTTAAGAACTGTAAGTGAATTCTTGAGTTCTCCTCCTGAGTCATCACACCTAGGTTTTTTTCTATAACAATATCACAGTTAATGACTCCCATTTCTGGAAGATTCCTTCTATTTTATGAAAAGTCTGTATATCCACAAAGCTCCCCACAGTAGAAATTTATCTGCTTTTTAAGGTGAAAAATAGTCTGAACTTAAAAACAGAAGGAAAACTCAATTTCCATCAATAGCTATTTTTTTTAGGATGAGAAAAATGTTGTACCCACTTTATTGCAAAGACTTAATAAGAATTTGTAAACTATGATAAGAAATAATGACATTTATTGCATATAGGTACCAGGCACCAGGCCAGGCATTTTCCATACATATAGTATATATAATTATTCTAATTTTACAGATGAGAAAAGGCCAGGCTCCCAGAAGTGGAAAAACTCATCAAACATCACACAGCTAATACATATCAGAATTGCATTCCAAACCCATCTCCTTTTCACTATACAAAGTTGTCTCTCAAAAAGCAGTAGGAAGTGGAGTGGGGCAAAGGGTATGTGGATAATTCCACTAAGTACTGTACTATAAAATTAGAACAAACAAACAAAAACTTAAAGAGACGTTCTGAAGTCATTCTTGTCCTTTTCTGCTTACCAGAAACAGATGAAATAGCTGGTGACTCAAGTTTGTTGTAGGGTACACAACAGGGTAATGAAAAGGTTGATACTGTTTGCTGACTTTGTTTTGCTAATGCAAACCAATTTTTTGTTTGAGTATAGGAAGCCTAGGAAGACAGGAGCTTATTAGTTTAACATATGATTAGCAGTATTATTCTGATCACAAACCTGGAGAAATCATTATGATAATATTCAGCTTGCACAGTATAATATAAAGTGAAAATTACCTCATGAAGGAAAATAAAATTGCACTAAAAATTCATTAGCTAAGAGGATACTGAAGGAAATCTCAATCCAGATTTTTTTCATCTTTGATAACCAAAGGAAAATATGTGTCCAATACCTATAAATTATCCAACTCTCACTCTCAGGCTATTGTGGACCAAAGGCATGAAACCCTACTTCCTGGATTCGCTACAAATTCATGCCATCTGACTTCAACTTGGCAGTCACCAGGCCCATCTATCTTTTTGCTAGTTGCTCCCCTTTACAACCTTCTCGATTACTTCAGATTCCCCATTCTGTCTCACCTGGCTCAGTGTTTTTAACAACTGCTCCTCCAATATGACAGAGACACTATTCTTAGTGCCACTGGACCCTCTCTGATCTTAGCTGCCGCTTTGCATTAGATTCAGTTTTCACAAGTTTGCTTTGATTGAATACTTCTTGCAGAATGATACCTGACTCCATCTGCCCCTGGATGCAGCATTCCATTTTTCCTTTCCTTTGTGTACCCCTGAACTAGCCAATTCAATCTGAAGCTGATCCTTAGCTTCTAGAACCCCAGCTCTAAGAAGCTCCTATCCTAGCCTTCTCGGGAAAATTCCTCTGTCTGCCTCTCTCTGTAATGTCCTCTTTTATTTTTACTTTAAAATCCAAGTTGTTCAACAAGAGCAGAGGAGGGAGTATCCAGCATTCCTCTCATGTCTCATTTATCAAACTGAGTTAGCTGGTTGGCCAGACACTCCCTGTCTATTATGTAGAATTAACATGGCAAGTCAGGCCACGTAAGGAGACCAAAACAAGAGAGAGAAATGAGAGATAGCATCTATGTGGTCACCATCCCTCTTACAGGTAAGGTTTCCTGGGTGCATAAAAGCTGTCAAAGACTCATTCACTTTTGTTCCCCTTTTCCTTTAAAATCAAGTTATTTATTATTAATTACATGTCCATCTAACATATAATTATCAAGTGACTACTTTATTCTAAGCAATAGCCTAAGCAATGACAGGAAGCCAAAATAATTAAGAAACATTCAAGGAATGGAGAGAGATCAACATACAAATGTCCTTGCTATTTTGACTGCAAAAAAGAACGAGGGAGTAGAACACAGGGGAGAAAAAAGTCACCAGTCAGGCTTTAACATAATTATTCCACTTCATATTTTTAAGAGATGAGTCAATTGTTTTTTAGATAGTATAACTTGAAGCTCAAAGAAATACTATCAATTATCATTAAGATTAACCCCTATGTATAGTCATGACTTAAATAATTTAAGGGTCCAAGAACTTTGAATCTGCAAAATTCAAAGGCTATTGAAAAATGGTAATATATAGTTAAACTGGCTGTGTGCAGTGCCTCACACCTGTAATCCTAGCACTTTGGAAGGCTGAGGTAGGAGGATTGTTTGCATCCAGGATTTCAAGACTAGTCTGGGCAACACAGACCCCATCTCTACAAATAATTTAAAAAATTTAGCCAGGCATGGTGATGCACTCTTGTACTCGCAGCTACTTGGGAGGCTGAGCAGAGACAATCGCTTGAACCGGGGGGGTTGAAGCTGCAATGAGCCATTAGTGCATCATTGCACTCCAGCCTGGGGAACACAGTAAGACCTTGTCTCAAAAAAAAAAAAAAAAAATGTGTATATATACACTGTTGAAGTATTAGTCAAGTACATACAAATGAGTTTTTTCATCTCAGAAAATAGCAAAAGTAAACTAGTTTGGATTTTAACTCCCTTAAATTTAATTAAATTCACATATAGCAAATCGGAACTTCTTCCCATGGATTCTTCCCTTTGCATGTTTATTTACCTCAACCATGAGTACATATTTTTATGACATTTCTATAGTATATAAGTTAAGAGAAAAAATATGGCCCTGCATAGTGGCTTACACCTGTAATCCCAACATTTTGGTAGGCCAAGGTGGGTGAATTGCTTAAGCTCAGCAGTTCAAGACCAGCCTGAGCAACATGTCAAAACCCTGTCTCTACAAAGATACACAAAAATTATCAGGGCATGGTAGCACATGCCTGTATTCCCAGCTACTTTCAGGGGCTAAGGCAGGAGGATCCTTTGAACCTTAGAAGGTCAAGGGTGCAGTGAGCTGGGATTGTACCACTGCACTCCAAGATGGGTGAAAAAGTGAGACCCTGTCTCAAAAAAAAAAAAAAAAAAAAAACACCCTAAAAATCAGTATAAGAAAGAAGAAAAATGTGCCTTAAATACACCACTAAGCATTATTTAATGGAAATAATGGAAATGGCATAACTGTAAACATTTTTGACAAATGTTGCTGATACAAATGCTGAACTACAAAATTTATAGGAGACACACATGAAAAAAAAAGTTCAAGTAACCTAAGTGTATCTATTCCAACACAGATGGCAAAGAGGCTTCCTCTTGTATGATAGTTTTGATGAATTGAAAGTGCCTTATTTGCAAGTAAGACTTAAGGTTTAAAAAAAAAAAAAAAAAACTGGAAGTGCCTATGCTGAATACTGTGTTGTAAAGAATCCGGAGCCAAATCCTAGCTCAGCAGAAAAATTTCCACAACTGATTAACAATGTCTGTCATAGAGGGAGTAGCAGCACAAGGGCTACATATTTGTCATTCCCACTTTTGTACAGAATTGTGTATTAGAAGTATAGTTTCAGAGATAAGATCTAATAATTAGAGCCCAAAGATCAAACAACAGTTCTCACTACACTAGGACCCTCCACAAGGACTTTTGATTCTAGGTTATATCTCCTCAAATGCTCTCATATAACCTCATAATTCTCTAACCATGGAGGACAAATTTATTTGATAATAGTTAAACAATAATAAATGCTAAGGAATAATCTAGAGAATAGGAAAGAGAAGACTCAATTTATCATCTTTTTGTACAAACGTAATAGAATCCAAATCATAAGAATTTTGCAATGAACAATGAAACCATGGATATAATTCAAGTTACTCTTGCTTCCCAGGTGACAAGCGTGTTTTTCAACCTTGCCTTTGTCTTTTCAGACATGAGAATAATATTTCTAATTACATTTCAAGTGAAAGAGAGCAGAGTAAATTAGTCAGTATAAATCTATAAGAACTATTGCTAAATCTGCTTTACATGTATTAGAAATCATTTTCTCCATTCAGGCAATACAAATGCCTTAACATGAGAAGTTTCAGCCAGGCGTGGTAGCTCACACCTATAATCCCAGCACTTTGGGAGGCAGAGGTTGGTGAACTGCTTGGACCCAAGAGTTCAAGACCAGCCGGGGCTACATGGTGAAACCCCGTCTCTACAAAAAATCCAAAAAAAAAAAAAAGGTAGCCGGGCATGGTGGTGCATGTCTGTAGCCCCAGTTACTCTGGAGGCTGAGGTGGGAGGATCACCTGAGCCCGGGAGGTAGAGGCAGTGAGCTGTGATCACACCACTGTACTTCAGCCTGGGTGACAGAGTAGTGAGATCCTGTTTTAAAAAATATATACATAAAATAAAAAATAAAATGAGAAGTTTCATTGAAGTATAAGTGATGAAAAAATACTCATACTTTTACCTCGCCAAGTGATATGTAGAACTTTTTCTTAATTATAAGATTATCTTCTTCAGTGGCAGGAGGTGGTAGACTGGGTGGTTTTTTCATGATCCAGGGAGAAAAATTTGATCCTACTGTGAAATTCATGCCGGACTTGCTCCATCTTACTTGTGAGACCAATTTAGCTAACCTGCATTTTAGAAATCATACAATTTTAAAACAAGCTTCAAATATGGCAGAATTCAAAGGGGAAAAAACCTAAAATTTTATTTTAGGTATTCAAACCAATCTCCTCTTCTCACTCTTAATTACGATTTTCTTTGTCTCTGCTAAAATTAATAGCTTAATCATAAAACTACTAATTAGTTAATTTTTCAGTTTTAATTGATTTTGACTTAAAAATGGTTGTTCAGAGGTCAAATTTTAGGTTCTTACACTTTAACAGTCAGGGAACATAAAGGAAAAATTTAGAAAAATTTGGCCCTGGACCACAGCATCCTATCTTTTTCATGTCACCCTAGTATTCATTGTTAAACACGCTGCACCTAAATACCATTACCACCAATAGATAATTTTTAAAATATGGCTAGTTGTAGAGGCTCACACATGTAATCCCGGTGCTTTGTGAGGCTAAGGCGGGAGGCCCTCTTGAAGCTAGGAGTTTGAGACTGGCCTGGGCAATATAATATAGCAAGACCCTATCTCTACAAAGAATTTTAAAAATTTGCCACACATGGTGGCGCACAGCTGTAGTCCTAGCTAATTGGGAGGCTAAGGCTGGAGGATCATTTGAACCCAGGAATTTGAGATTATGGGGAGCTATGATTGTGCCAGTGTACTCCAGCCTGGGCAACAGAGGAAGACCCTGTCTGAATAAATAAATAAATAAATAAATAACCAAAGAAGTATAACTAAAGTACATTTATTAGGTATTGTTTCTATAAAATGTTGTCAGAAAAGTTAAGTGACTTTTACCTACATTCTATCACTCTTATTCTACAGCAGGTGGGATCCAAACCTCAAATAGATTAAAATGTATACATACAATTTTACTAAGAAACCATAGAAAAATAATTTTAGGTTAAAAAATATGTATTTGAAAATACATATATTGATGGGACTAGTACCTGTATTCAAAGTAGCAATCACTTTCCAGAAATGCTGGAAGTCTTTCTTTTTTGATCCACTTAATACCTTCTTCATGACTGAGACACTATGTGAAGAAAGGGAAAAGGGAAAAGAAAGTCAATGAAAATCACTTTTAGGACGATTAACACCTAACCATGAGAGTACTAATGACCTGTAGCTGACAGCAGGAGCCCTACCCCTAGGTCTCCTATTTCCACTAGAGAGATCAATAACCCTGAGCCACAAAAGTAAGGCACTTCTTGCCTCTGCTGTGTTTAATTCTCTTAAAAATCCTGTATCGACTATATATTATCACAATTTTTATAGATTAACAAATTGAACCCAGAGAAGTTAAGTAACTTGTTGAAGGAGGAAGAATGAGGAAAAAAAAAAAGCCAATCAATCTCAATATTTTCACAGTCATAAAATGGGTTAAAAATAATCACAAACAGAAAAAGAACCACCAAGAAAACTTGGTAAGGCCACCAACGTCACTGCAGGCCCTTTGTTCTTCAAGTTAAAAAAAAACAATTAAACTATTTAACATCTCCAGGCACTCTCTTGAAGATACAAAAGTTAACAATTATAGTAGAGTGTTACAAGGGCCACAGTGTAGGCGTCTGTGGGATCCTACAGAGACACTCAACTGAGGAGTGGTTTCCTATAGAACACAACCTTCACTCTTTGACCTGAAGCAAGACTAGCTAGGTTGAGCAGGAAAGCAGAAGAGGAAAACCATAAGAGGAAAATCCATAGGCCGCAGGATGAGATTTAAGGGACAGAGAAAGGAAGGCTGGAGAAGTAGGCAGGGTCATGATTGCAAACAGCCTTTTAAATAACATTAAGGAGTACAGATTTTATCTTGATGTTGTGAGAGCAATACAGAAGTACTGAAGAGTTACTGTTGTTCATCCTAAAATATTTACTCACTATTGATTCTACTTTTTCTTGTATTCGCTTTTTCCAGAATTCTAAAGAAAACCAGTACCTTGGACATAAAACATATGTTACCAATAAAGAAAACAATCTCAGTGAGGTGAATGTGTTTGCATTTATGTGGTTTCTATGGATGATCTAAGGCAATAGTTTTGCTATGATATTATGATATTAGCAAAAGAGTTAATACATTGACCATTATTAACTCTAGTGAGGAAACTGAATGTCCACACGGTAGTGTTGCCGACATCTAATGTGCTGATGCTCATGAGGGGGATATGTGCTCATCATTGCTGATATGCACAGAAGTCTTTAGGCTGTCAGGATTGGAAGATGGAATGTAAAACATTTTCCTTCTGTTCAGCAAGAAAAAAAAAACATTCACTTGCCTTCACCAAACTCTATATTCTGCATAATGAAAGAATAGAAGAAAACCATGGAAATAGCCAGCACCTAATCAGCAGCATCTTGTTGACTGTCTCACTGCTTATCAGCAAGATCTGAAGGACATTTGATCTTGTAGTTAGAAAGACTCCGCATAGGCTACACACTGACAACTGTGCAGGACTCCTGAACTCCCTCCCATTAGTACTTCATTCAATGTATCACAGAAAGATACCAAGCTACATATAAAGATCCACATCAACCCTTAAAGAACTCTATAAGGTTGTCAAACTAGTCAGTTCATTGAAAACCAATCTGCTGAATATTCAGCTAGTGAACAGTTTAACTATAATTCATCCTCTTTTGAGTGTTTTTGTACCTATTTGACCCAAAAACAAAATGAATGAAAAAGTTTTAAAATAATAAAATCAATAATTGAAGAAAAGTCTTTAGCCAAGCTGAAAACAAAACTCTTCAAGGTTTTAAAAAGTAACTAAATATAAAGACCAAAAACATAAAAAACAATCCTGGTCAACCATAAAATAACTTAATACTTACAAGAAACACAAAAAGCATCTATCTAAGGCGATATTATTTAAACCTTAAAACAATTTTTTTAAGTTGGTTAAGAAACAGAAAGGGATGACCAGACGGTTAAGCCATTTACCTATGGCTTTAGGTAAATCGATATAGAACTATTTCCAAGTAGCCACACACAAGCTGTCTTAAATGCCTACAGAATTGGATTAATAAAAAATTATGGCTGGGCACGGTGGCTTATGCCTGTAATCCCAGCACTTTGGGAGGCCAAGGTGGGCGGATCATGAGGTCAGGAGGTGGAGACCATCCTAGCCAACATGGTGAAACTCTATCTCTACTAAAATACAAAAAATTAGCCGGGTGTGGTGGCGCGCACCTGTAGTCTCAGCTACTCGGGAGGCTGAGGCAGGGGAATCACTTGAACCCAGGGGACGGAAGTTGCAGTGAGCCAAGATCACACCACTGCACTCCAGCCTGGTGACAGAGCAAGACTCCATCCCCACCCCAAAAATATTACATTTAGATGTACAAGGCAAACAAATAAAGCATGGCTATCAGCCAATAGCTCTTATTGTTTAGTCAGATTTATTGAGGTATAAATTACATACAGTGAAATTCACCCTTTTTAATACAGTTCTACAAGTTTTGACAAATGCATATAATCATGTAACCAGGAATACAATCAACGTACAGAATAGTTGCAACACCCTCCAAATTTCCTCATGCCACTTTGTAGTCAGCAACTCCCTCCAACCCTAGGCTCTGGCAACCACTGACCTGTTCCATAGTTGTGCCTTTTCCAGAATGTCATACAAATGAAATCAATATAGTATGTACTTTTGATTCTAGTATCTTTCATTCAGCATAAAGCATTTAAGATTGATTTATGTTCTTTTATGTATAAATACTTCATTCTTTTTTGTTGCTAAGTAATATTCTACTGTATGGATATACCACAGTTTGTTTATCCATTCCCCTGTTAGGATTCTGTATAACTTCCAGCTTTTGTGATCATGAATAAAGCAACTATAGACATTTGCATGCAGGTTTTTGTGTAAGTATAACTTTTTATTTCTTTTGGGTAATAATCAGGAGTAGAATAGATAGGTAGTCACATGGCATGGATATTTGCCCCCTCCAAATCTCATATTGAAATGTGATCCCCAATGTTGGAAGTAGGGCCTGGTGGGAGATGCTTCGGTCATGCAAGTGAATCCCTCATGAATGTCTAAGTGTCATCCTGATGGTAATGAGTGAGTTCTCACTTTGTTAGTTCATACAAGACCTGGTTGTTTAAAGAGGCTGGCACTTCCCACCCTCTCCCTTGCTACCTCCCTAGCCATGTGATATACCTCTCCCTCTTTGTCTTCCACCATGATGTGGGAGCTTACTGAGGCCCTCACCAGAAGCAGATGCTAGTGCCATGCTTCTTGGACAGCCTGCAGAACTGTGAGCCAAATAAACTTCTTTTCTTCATAAATTACCGAGCCTTAGATATTCCTTTATAACCTTCTTCACCATGTGGTGATGCAGCACAAAAGTCCTCACCAGAAGCCAGGGCCATGCCCTGAACTTCTCATCCTGCAGAACCATGAGTTAAATAAATCTCTTTTCTTTATATATTGCCCAGTTTTGGGTATTCCTTTATAGCAACACAAATGGACTATAGATGGTATTGGTGTATGTTTAACTTAGAAAGATATGCCAAACTGTTCTCCAAAATGGACTTCTCACCAATCAGAATGGACATTATGGGTTGCTTCTACTTTTTGGCTATTATGAATGATGCTACTATGAACATTTGTATATAAGTTTTTATGTGAACATATATTTTCAATTGTCTTGAGTATATACCTAGAAGTGGCATTTCTGGGTCATATAACTCTTAGGCTAACCTATTAAGAACTGTCTAATAATATTTTCCAAAGTAGGTGCACCATCTTACAATTGCACCAGCAGTGTATGAGGGTTCAAATCCTCACAAACATTTGTTATTATTTGCCTTTTTTAATCATAGCCATCCTGTTGGGTGTGAAGTGATGTCTCATTGTGGTTTTGATTCCATTTCCCTTATGACTAATGATGTTGAAAATATTTTTATGTGCTTATTGTTTATCTTCTTTGGAGAAATGTCAATTCTAAATGATTTGCAGATTTTAAAATTGGGTTATTTGTCTTTTGATTTTTGAGTTTTAAGAGTTCTTTTTATAGTTTAGATACAGGTCCATATCAAATTTATGACTTGCAAATATTTTCTCTCATTCTGTGGGTTGTCTTTTTACTTTCTTGGTAGTGTCCTTTAGAACATGAAAGTTTTTCATTTTGATTTATCTTTTTTTTCTTGTGCATTGATGTCATATCTAACAAAACTAATGCATAATTCAAGGTTATGAAGATTTACACCTGTATTATCTTCTTAAATATAATTATGTTTTTTGCTTTGCTGGATTAAATTTGTTTTTTTTTTTTTTCGAGGATTTTTGATGGAATAAGCTCTTAATCATGGCTGTGCCTTAAGTCTTCTTGAAACCTTTAAAAATATAGTAATTACTGATTTTCTTTTTTTTTTTTTTTT